CTCTTGACGTCGTGATCCACCCGCCTCGGCCTCCCAAAGTGCTGGGATTACAGGCGTGAGCCACCGCGCCCGGCCAGAAGGACCATAATTGAAGCAAACCACGATGAGGAGATTGGACACTCCACATCTGTGCAACTCAAAGTTGAGATGCCCATAAATTTCAAGCTGCAACTGCGTGTTTTTAAAAATTGTTTAGGCTGGCATGCTGGCTCACACCTGTAATCCCAGCACTCTGGGAGGCTGAGGCAGGTGGATCACCTGAGGTCAAGAGTTTGAGACCAGCCTGGCCAACTTGGTGAAATCCAGTCTCTACTAAAAATACAAAACTTATCCAGGCGTGGTGGTGCGTGCAGTGAGCTGAGGTCGCACCACTGCACTCCAGCCTGGGGGACACAGTGAAACTCTGACTCAAAATAATAAAAATTTACAAACCATCTCTTCAAATGAGAGACAGGAATACTAAAGGCAACACATGTTCCCAGACCACAAAACAAGAGAGCTGTAAAGAACGTGATGGTGACAGGTGGCGAAATGTGAATATGGATTAGATATTGGATAATAACATCAAGTCTACGAGAAACTTCATGAATTCATTGTATCTTCATTATTATGTAAGAGAACAGCCTTATTTTTAGAGGCGCCCAGTCCCTTCCGGCCTCATTAACAACAAGCAGGTGTACATATTAAAATGTTCACAGCAGGTGAGGTGAGGAAACATCGTACCTGAGAGGTCATGGTACTCTTCTGGTAACTTTTGAGATTCTTTCCAAAATAAAAAGTTTTAAAAAAATGCATCTAAGTAGGGAGGAAAAAACAAGAACATAGGGCTGGGTGCAGTGGCTCATGCCTGTAATCCCAGAACTTTGGGAGGCTGAGGTGGGCAAATCGCTTGAGGTCAGGAGTTCGAGACCAGCCTGGCCAACACAGTGAAACCCTTGTTTCTACTAAAAATACAAAAATTAGTGGGGCGTGGTGGCGGGAGCCTCTAATCCCAGCTACTCAGGAAATTGAGGCAGGAGAATCACTTGAACCCAGGAGGCGGGGGTTGCAGTGAGCCGAGATCGCATCACTGCACTCCAGCCTGGGTGACAGAACAAGACTCCATCTAAAAAAAAAAAAAAAAAGCAGCAAAACTGTGTTTTGGAGACAGGAAATTCTGATTCCTACTACAACATAGATGAACCCTGAGGACATCATGCTAAGTGAAGAAAACCAGCATTAGGGGGACAAACACGTAATTCCAGTTCCATGAATTCCCCAGAACAGGCAAATTGATAAAGACGGAAAGTAGCTTGGAGGTTAGCAGCGCCTGCAGAAAAGGGGAGATTTTGCTTAATGGGTACAGAGTTTCTGTTTCGGAGGCTGGAAAGACTCTGGAGATGATGATGGTGACGGTGCACAGCACTGAACGTACTTAATGCCACTGAGCTGGGCACCTCAAAAAGGGTAAGGCCATTGTGGTGGTTGGCACCTGTAGTCCCAGCTACTCGGGAAGCAGAGGCGGGAGTGTAGCTTGAGCCTGGGGGTTTGAGGCTATAGGGAGCTATGAGCAACCGCTGCACTCCAGCCTGGGGGAAAGAGTGAGACCCTGTCTCAAAAAAAAAAAAAAAAGACCGAGGCCGGGCGCGGTGGCTCAAGCCTGTAATCCCAGCACTTTGGGAGGCCGAGGCGGGTGGATCACGACGTCAAGAGATCGAGACCATCCTGGTCAACACGGTGAAACCCCGTCTCTACTAAAACTACAAAAAATTAGCTGGGCATGGTGGCGCGTGCCTGTAATCCCAGCTACTCAGGAGGCTGAGGCAGGAGAATTGCCTGAACCCAGAAGGCGGAGGTTGCGGTGAGCCGAGATCGCGCCACTGCACTCCAGTCTGGGTAACAAGAGCGAAACTCCGTCCCCCCCCAAAAAAAAAGGCAAATTTCATGTAATACAATCATGTATTAATTGACACTGGAAATACTTGGGAGGCTGAGGCAGGAGAATCGCATGAACCCAGGAGGCAGTGGTTGCATTGAACCGAGATTGCATCACTGCACTCCAGCCTGGGCAACAGAGCCAGGCTGCCTGGAAAAAAAAAAAAAAAGGAAACAGATTCTGCAAGATGCGTCATTAGGCAATTTGGTCGTGTGTGAGCATCACGGAGTGTGCCCACGCACGCTGAGACAGTGCAGCCTACCGCACACCTCGGCTGTATGGTACAGCCCGTCGCTCCTAGGATACAAACCTGCACAGCACGTGAGTGTGCTCGATCCTGCAGGCAGCTGCAGCATGACCGTAAGTACTTGTGTATCCTAACATATCTAAGCATAAAAAAAGTGCAGAAAAAGTATGGTATAAATGACTAAAAATTGGCCGGGTGCAGTGGCTCATGCCTGTAATCCCAGCACTTTGGGAGGCCGAGGTGGGCAGATCACCTGAGGTCAGGAGTTTGAGACTAGCCTGGTCAACATGGTGAAACTGTCCTCTACTAAAAATATAAAAATTAGCCAGCCGCGGTGGCGGGCACCTGTAATCCCAGCTACTTGGGAGGCTGAGGCAGGAGAATTGCTTGAACCAAGGAGGCAGAGATTGTAATGGCAAGATGGTGCCATTGCACTCCAGTCTAAGCCACAGCTAGACTCTGTCTAAAAAAAAAAAAAAAAAAAACGCTGAGTGTAGTGGCTTATGCCTGTAATCCCAGCACTTTGGGAGGCCAAGGCGGGTGGATCACGAGGTCAGGAGATCGAGACCATACTGGTCAACAAGGTGAAACCCCGTCTCTACTAAAAATACAAAAATTAGCTGGGCATGGTGACACACGCCTGTAGTCCCAGCTACTCGGGAGGCTGAGGCAGGAGAATTGCTTGAACCCAGGAGGCGGAGGTTGCGGTGAGCCGAGATCGGGCCATTGCTCTCCAGTCTGGGTAACAACAGCAAAACTCCATCTCAAAAACAAAAAACAAAACAAAAAAAAGAAATACAAAAATTAGTTGGGAGTGGTGGTGTGCACCTGTAGTCCCAGCTACTCAGGAGGCTGAGGCAGGAGAATTGCCTGAACCGGCGAGATCTAGGTTGCAGTGAGCCAAGATCACAACACTTTGCTCCAGCTTGGCGACAGAGTGAGACTCCGTCTTAAAAAAAAAAATCGTATTGAAGCACTATTATAATTGCAGTCTGTCATTGAGTGAAATGTTATGTAATGCTTACTGGTACACATTTTACCACAATAAACACACATAGAGTAATGAGATGTCATTTCCATGTTTAGGTTATAAGACACTGTAACTTCCATCTTGCTAGCAGAATGTCTTGACTTCTCAGTTTTCAGGCTTTTATACGCAACCCGCCATGTGGAAGAGACCCCTATATGAGTTTGCAAGTGGCTTTTTTCCCTTTCTGATCTTTTTTTTTCTTTTAGAGATGGGATCTTGCTATGTTGCCCCGGCTGGTGTGCAGTGGCTATTCACAGGTGCAATCATGGTGCAATACAGCCTGAAACAACTCCTAGCCTCAAGCAATTCTCATGCCTCAGCCTCCACTTACCACCTCACCTGGCTTCCCCCAGTCAGATCTTCAGATGAGACACCAGCCTTGGCTAACACCTCGAAGAAAATCTGTGAAAGGTTCTGAGGCAGGTAAGCCACAGAAACAGTGAGATAATGAATATGATTATTTTAAGCCAGTAAGATTTCAGGGGCCAGCCGGGCGTGGTGGCTTATGCCTGTAATCCCAGCACTTTGGGAGGCCGAGGTGGGCATATCACCTGAGGTCGGGAGTTCGAGACCAGTCTGACCAACATGGAGACACCCCGTCTCTACTAAAAATACAAAATTAGCTGGGCGTGGTGGCGCATGCCTGTAATCCCAGCTACTCCAGAGGCTGAGGCAGGAGAATCGCTTGAACCCCGGAAGTGGAGGCTGCAGTGAGCAGAGATCTTGCCATTGCACTCCAGCCTGGGCAACAAGAGTGAAACTCTATCTTAAAAAAAAAAAAAAAGATTTGCGGGGCCAGGTGAGGTGGCTCATGCCTTTAATCCCAGCACTTCAGGAGGCCAAAATGGATGGCTTGAGCCCAGGGGTTTGAGACTAGCCTGGGCAACATGGCAAAACCCCATTTCTACAAAAAATTTAAAGATTAGCTGCACATGGTGGTGCACACCTTTAGCCCCAGTTAATTGGGAGGCTGAGGTTGGAGTGGACCCTGATCCTGCCACTGCACTCCAGCCTGGATGACAGTGGGAGCCCCTGTTTTGACAACAACAAAAAAGATTTGGGGCTATTTGTTACACAGCAATAGAAAACTAACACACTATTGTTTTGATCATTATTATTAGAGGACGTTTCATAAAGTGAAAGAATATGGGGGCTTTCATAGCTAATCCTGGAGGGTGGGAATCCTTCACTGCCTCCTAGCTTGTTCTTGCCCCACTGGCTCCCACTGGGAGCCTCAGTTTTCTCATCTGTAAATGGGGGATGATAACAACGCCTGCTTCTGGGGTATAAAAAGGATGAGGCAGATAACGCGTTTAGCTCAGGCTCCCCACGGAGGGAGTGGTCAGGTACAGGGGACGTGGATGATGATGATGATGGCTGGGGGGACAGGGACTGTCTCCTGTCTTGTCTGGTGATATCCCCTTCTGAACAGACCTGGAGACTGCAGGGGTTTCAGCAATTGTTTGTTGACGCTGCAAGGTCTCTGTGCCCCTGTGGTGTTTGTCTGTCTGTCCTTCAGCGTGCCCTGCCCTCTGTGCTCTCTGTCCCCGTTTGTGATCCTCGCCGTGTCGTGTCCTGTCCACCCACGTGTATGTCTTGTTATGTCCTTGGGGGGGCTCGGAGCGACTGAGCTGTGGGGGCTGGGGACTGGGAGCGGGAGCTGAGGTAGGGAGGGAGGGAGGGAGGCAGCGCTCGCCTGGCCCTCGTGATCCCCCCTCCTCGTCTCTCACCGAGGACCCTCAGCGCAGCCACTTCTCCAGGCACTCGGCTGAGAGAACGCGCGTAGGCGTTGCCCTGGCAACGCCGCGATGCCCAGCAACAAGTCCGCGGCGTGCGTCACGTGCTCGGTGCGGACCAATCCGAGGGCCCGTCGGGAAGCAGGTCAGCCTGGGCCAAAGTCCGCCTCCTCCCTCCCGGCGAGAGGCTCCCAGCTAATTACCGTAATTGCGGTGGGAGAGCTGCCGGGTGCGCGGGGGCTGGGGCTGGGGCTGGGGCTGGGGGCTGGGCAGGCCCTGAGGAGCTGAGCAGGGAGGGCTAGAAAGCACGACTGTCTCCTCAGCCAGCCTCGCTGCTGCCTCCAACACCACTATCGAAGCGCTCTTTAGGCGCCTACTGTGTGCACCTGCTGTTGAAGGGGGTGAGGTTGGAGTGTTTGCACTAGGGGTGGGGAATCCTAGCCTCCAGCCTGGGTAAACCTAGATTTTGGGGTGCGGGGAACAGATTTGACTCTTAAGACTCTGGGTCTCAGAAACTATCTAATCGCTGTTGGCTGTATTGAACCAATCCCCCCACCCCCTTCAAGAAGGGTCACGGTTGCCTCCTGCACAGAAATACAAAAGGTTTAACTCTTGAAGGGAGTTGGCTCTGGGTGGAGAGTTCAAATCCCGCCTCTGCCATTTACTGCTGTGTGACTCTTTGTGAGTCCCTTAACCTCTCTGAACCCTAGACTCCTCATTAGTTAAAAAAGCAGGTAGGACCGCGCACAGTGGCTCACGCCTGTAATCTCAGTACTTTAGGAGGCTAAGGCGGGCGGATCACTTGAGGTCGGGAACTGGAGACCAACCTGGTCAACATGGTGAAACCCTCTCTACTAAAACTACAAAACTTAACCGGGCCCAGTGGCAGGCACTGGGTAGTTCCAGCTACTTGGGAGGCTAAGGCAGGAGAATCGCTTGAACTTGGGAGTCGGAGGTTGCACTGAGCTGAAGTTGTACTTCTGAACTACAGCCTCGGTGTTAAAGCCAGACTGTGTCTCAGAAAAAACAAACAAACAGGCCCGGCATGGTGGCTCACACCTGTAACCCCAGCATTTTGGGAGGCTGAGGCGGGTGGATCATGAGGTCAAGGGATTGAGACCACCCTGGCCAACATAGTGAAACCCCGTCTCTACTAAAAATACAAAAATTAACCGGCGTGGTGACATAGAGCTATAGTCCAAGATCCTCAGGAGGCCGAGGCGGGAGAATCACTTGAACCTGGGAGGCGGAGGCTGCAGTGAGCTGAGATTGCGCCATTGCGCTGCAGCCTGGGTGGCAGAGCGAGACTCCATCTCGTATTATTGAGAGAATGTGTGTGAAGTGTACAGCAAGTATTTAACAAATATCGCCATGGTCCTTGCTCTGAGTTATGAGCTGTGAGTCCAAGTATCATTGAGTGACACCGAGCCCCAGTTTTTTCCACAGATAAGATGAAGGAATGGGGGAAACGGCCTCGTGTCAGATTCACGGCCCTGGTTTGTTTCCTAAACAATGTTCCCTGGGTTGTTTTTTGTTTTTAATTATTAATAGTTCAAGGCCAGGTATGGTGGCTCTCACCTGTAATCCTAGCACTCTGGGCGACCTGACGGAGGCAAGAGGATCTCCTGAGGCCAGCATTGAACACTACCCGGGGTGACAGAGTGAGACGTTTCTGAAAAAGAAAAAATTTTAAAAAGCAAGAAAATTAGCTCAAAGTGGGGGCTTTCACGTGAAGGCATTTACACTTCGGATTCCTGGACTAGCTGATCTCTCTCTCTTTTTCTTTCTTTCTTCTCTCTCTCTCTCTTCTTTCTCTCTCTTTCTCGATAGAGTTTTGCTCTTGTTGCCCAGGCCAGAGTGCAATGGCGTGATCTTGGCTCACTGCACCCTCCGCCTCCCAGATTCAAGCAATTCTCCTGCCTCGCCTCTCGAGTAGCTTGGATTACAGCCACGTGCCACTCTTATTTTGTTTTTTTTAGTAGAGATGGGGTTTCGCCCTGTTGAAAAATTTTTGTATCTTTAGTAGAGACAGGGTTTCAGTGTTGGCCAGGCTGGTCTCGAACTCCTGACCTCAGGTAATCCACTCGCCTCGGCCTCTCAAGGTCCTGGGATTCCATTCATGAGCTACCACGCCCGACCTAGCTGATCTCTTAACTCCTTTCCAGTTCTTTGCTTTGTTTGTTCTTTTAGCAACAAGCATTAATTGAGCACCTAGTGTGTACCAGGCTCTACCTTGGGTCTGAGTCCTCAGCCTCGTTGTACTAAACTCAGGGTCCAACTGAGCCAAACTGTAGGGCGGCTTCAAGGAGGAAATGAGTTCCTTCAGTCATTCAATGAATTTCAGGCTCTGGGAAATACAGTATCAATAGTTGTGACTGTGGCATTGACCACAGGCATTGGCCCAGGACCTCAGTGAAGGGGAGGGCACATCTGGTCATCTTTCAGTTTCACCAATGCTGTTTCCCTTCTCCAGGTCTTTGTTCCTGCTTGCTGTTCCATCTTTCTGGGAAGACTTTCCCCTGATCAGGACCTCTCCTCACCTTCTCCAGGAACAGCGGGAACAAAGACACAAACGGCAGAGCCTCTGATGGGCTCCCCTGGGTGTACCCCCCTCCACCACTGTGGCTGCCAAAAACTATCTTCTTATCTGTTACCCTCTTAGGATGGGAGTCACTAGAAGGAAGTTGCAGAGGAGACTGTACTTGGAAGTTTTTTTTGTTGTTGAGACTGAGTCTCGCTCTGTTGCCCAGGCTGGAGTTCAGTGATGCAATCTCGGCTCACTGCAACCTCTGCCTCCCGGGTTCAAGCGATTCTCCTGGCTTAGCCTCCCGAGTACTTGGGACTACAGGTGCCTGCCACTATACCCAGCTAATTTTTTGTTTTTAGTAGAGACAGAGTTTCACCATGTTGGCCAGGATGGTCTCTAACTGCTGACCTCATGATGCCCAAAGTACTGGGATTACAGGTGTGATCTACAGCACCTGGCCTGTTTGTTTGTTTGTTTGAGACAGGTTCTTGCTCTGTTGCCCAGGCTGGAATCCAGTGGCATAATAGCTCATTGCAGCCTTGGCCTCCTGAGCTTCAGCTATCCTCCTGCCTCAGCATCCAGATTAGCTGGAACCACAGGTGAGTGCCATTGTGCCCAGCTAATTTTTATATATTTTTTTTGTAGGGACAGGGTCTCCCTATGTTGCCGGGGCTGGTCTCAGACCTCTGGCTTCAAGTGATCCTCCAGTCTTGGCCTCCCAGAGTGCTGGGATTACAGGTGTGACCCACCATGCCCAGCCCAGAATTTTGTTCATGTGTGTTTTTCAGGAGCCTCTGAAAGCTAAGAAGGGAGAATGCAGCTTTCATGCGAGGGCCTCCCAGGACTCAGGGCTGGGGAGGAAACCAGGTCTGCAGGAGCTTGGCTTGACTCTGCAACCCAAGAGCCACCTTTTGGAGACTGGGTTCTGGTCCCACTTCAGACTCAGGTACCAACCACAGAATTTGGCTGAAAGTGGAGACCCTGGCCCCAAAAGGCAGCTCTCTCTCTTTCTCTGCTGCGTGAGCTTGGGCAAGTGTCTCAACTCTCTGTGCCTCCTTCTGCCCCCCGGAAATGGTGCTAATCAGCACCAAGCTTGGGAAGTTAAGGTGAGGATGAGATCGAAGGGAGAGCCAGCACCTACTAGATTTTCAATAAATGGCAACCGGCATTATCATTTAAATGGATTGGGGACTGATTGGAAGGAAGTCATGACAGTCACAGAACCAACAGAAAGCAAGAAAATCGCTTTTTTTTTTTTTTTTTTTTAAAGACGGGGTTTCACCATGTTGGTCATACTGGTCTTGAACTCCCGACCTCAGGTGATTTGCCCGCCCTGGCCTCCAAAGTGCTTGGATTACAGGACTGAGCCACCACACCCGGCCGAGAAAAATCACTTTTGAGAACAGGCAGGTACCAAGAGAAGAGCCTTTGAGGGAAGCAGCGAGATGGCAGGCAGGGAAACACCCAGCCTAGCCCCAGCCAGCCTCTGTCTTTCAGTGTGACTACGGGCTAGCAATCCGACTTCTGTCTTCTTCCCTGTTCCCCATCTTTCTCCCTGGAGGATGAGGGTGTGAGTTGGAACAGAGACCCTGGAAAAGGTTCCGGAAGGTTCCAGAAGGTTCTGGAAGGTCCAAGTCTGGTATTCATAGTACATTGACAAATATTTATTGGGGCTCAATATTTTCAGGACATTGTGCTTCATGAAGTTAGGGCTACCAGAAAGAATGGCAAGGCAAAAAAAAAAATACATCAAAGAGGGGAACAGGAAAGCTGGATTCTAGTCCTTGCTGGGCCTCTGACTTGCTGCTTGAGCTCTCTGGGCCTCAAGGAATTAAAAAGTAGGGGGGTTCTGTCATAGGAAGACCACCCTTCAGAGCCCTTCTCTGCCCCCTGCTTGCTGGGTGTCCCTAGGGAAAATGTCTCCACCTCTCTGGGCCTCAGTTTCCACATCAGAACAGTGTGATTCAGTCACTGTGCTGCAGGGCAGGTTCGAGGAGTAAATTAGATCATTCAGTCATTCAATGAATTTCAGGCATTGGGAAATAGAGTGTCTATTAAAATGGGCACAACCTGACCCTCTATGGTATATAAAGCACTTAGCACATAGTGAATGACAGACAGGGAGTACCAACATCGGGCCATCATCATCACCCGTAAAGTGCTCGGCACAAAATAGATGCTCAGTAAACCCTGGTTCGTAACACTGCAGTAGTTACAGGACCTACATTGCAAGATTCTCTGCTTTCCTGCTGCATCTGAAGCATTAATGTGCCAGGGGGCCAAAACTGAGACCTTTATTAGGGATTCCCTGGTGGCCTCAGGTGGGGAGGGTGACCTGCGTGTGGTCCTGTTTTCGTGCCCTGCCTCTTCTGGGTAAATGCCTCTGCTAATCTCCCCTTGCCCGGGCTGCAGGGTCAGGTTTCGGTGCCCCAGGCAGATGTTGTCCAGAGTAGCCCTGTTTCCTTAATCCTCAGGGCTCCAGAAATTGTCCTTAGAAGAAAGAACAACAGACCCGCCGAGGTCACCATCTGTGCGGTCTTGATTTGTAAATGCTCATGAGGGTGGCAGGAAAGAGGTCTCTATAGTAACGGCTGAGGAAGGGGCTGCCTGTGCGTGTGTGCGTGTGTGTGTGTGTGTGTGTGTGTGCCCAGGCGCACACAGGGAGGGGGAATAGCCCAGACCCTTATTTCTAGACTTTTCTACCCCGATGAGGTATTAATTAATTCTCATTGTTGGCTTCTTATTCCCAGAGATAATTAGCTACTGTTCCTAACTGGAGTCATGGGGACATTTTCTAAAGAGATTCGTTCGCCTCTGCCCACCCACACCTGTCTATCTCCTGGGACACAAGCAAATGTTCAGAACACAGAGACCCAGAGAACAGAAAAACAGAACAGAGGTCTCTCTGTGGAGCTCACATTCCCAGTGAATGGACAAGAGCACAGCCTGAGTGAGCAAGGTCCAGTGCACAGAAAGTTATTATACAAACGTGAGCTATGGCTGGGTGTGGTGGCTCACGCCTGTAATCCCAACACTTTGGGAGGCCAAGGCAGGAGGATCACTTGAGGTCAGGAGTTCAAGACCAGCCTGGCCAACGTGGTGAAAACTCATTTCTACTAAAAATACAAAAATTAGCCAGGAATGGTGGTGTATACCTGTAATCTCAGCTACTTAGGAGGCTGAGGCAGGAGAATCTCCTGAACCCGGGAGGTGCAGGTTGCAGTGAGCCAAGGTCACGCCACTGCACTCCAGCCTGGGTGACAGAGTGAAACTCTGTCTCAAAAATAAATAAATAAATAAAATTAATTTTAAAATAAATAAATAAAAAGAAGTAAAAGATGGCTGGGTATGGTGACTCACACCTGTAATCCCAGCACTTCGGAGGCTGAGGTGGGATGATCACTTGAACCCAGGAGGTAGAGGCTACAGCAAACCATGATCATGCCACTGTATTCCAGCCTATGTGGCAGTGAGACCCTACCTCAAAAACAAAAAAAGAGGTAGGCTGGGCTCAATGGCTCACGTCTGTAATCCCTGAACTTTGGGAGGCTGAGACAGGCGGATCACGAGGTCAACAGGTCCAGACCATCTTGGCCAAGATGGTGAAACTGAGTCTCTACCAAAAATACAAGAATTAGCTGGACATGGTGGTGCACGTCTGTAATTCCAGCTACACAGGAGGCTGAGGCAGGAGAATCGCTGGAGCCCAGGAGGCGTAGGTAGCAGTGAGCCAAGGTTGTGCCACTACGCTCCAGCCTGGAGAGACAGTGAGACTCCATCTCAAAATAAATAAAATTATCTATATCTATATCTTGAGAGAGAGAGGGGGGTAAAAGATGCTACACACTTATTGGGTAGTTAAAAACCAAACCAAACAATACCAACAGCTAGCTGATAAGGGCATGAAGCAACTAGAACCCTTATCCACTGCTGTGGGAATGCAAAATGATACAAGTGCTCTGGGAAAAGTTTGACAGTTTCTTATAAAGTTAAATATACACTTCGCATATGACCCAGTCATCGCACTCCTAGGTATTTACCATAGGGATGTGAAAATTTATTGCCCACGTGAAAGCCTGCATGTAAATATTTATTGAGACAGAGTATCGCTTGTTGCCCAGGCTGGAGTACAGTGGCACCTTCTCTGCTCACTGCAAACTCCTTCTCCTTGGTTCAAGCAATTCTTCTGCTTCAGCCTCTGGAGTAACTGGGACTACAGGTACCTGCCACCACACCCAGCTAATTTTTGTATTTTTAGTTGAGACAGGGTTTCACTATATTGGCCAGGCTGGTCTTGAACTCCTAACCTCATGATCCGCCCACCTCAACCTCCCAAAGTGCTGGGATTACAGGCGTGAGCCACCGCCCCCAGCCCATGTAAATATCTATAGCAGCTTTTTTCCTAATAATCTCCAAACACAGACGATGTTCCAGAACCTAATGTCCTTGGACTGATGAATGGGTAAACAGGCCATAGCTCATCCACATGATGGAATACTACTTGATAATTAAAAGGAGGGCCGGGCACGTGGCTCACGCCTGTAACCCGAGCACTTTGGGAGGCCGAGGCAGGCAGATCAAGAGGTCAGGAGCTGGAGACCAGCCTGGCCAACATGGAGAAACCCTGTCTGTGCTAAAAATGCAAAAAGTAGCCGGGTGTGGTGGCGCGCACCTGTAGTCCCAGCTACTCAGGAGTCTGAGGCAGGAGAATCACTTGAACCCAGGAGGCGGAGGTTGCAGTGAGCCAAGATCATGCCACTGCACCCCAGCCTGGGTGACAGAGTGAGACTCCATCTCAAAAGTAAATAAATAAATAAAGGAACTAACTCCGTGTTCATGCAATAGCATGAATCGCTCTCTATTCTGCTGAGGGAAGGAAGCCAGGCTGGGCATGGTGGCTCACACCTATAATCCCAGCACTTTGGGAGGCCGAGGTGGGCAGATTGCTTGAGGTCAGGAGTTTGAGACCAGCCTGGCCAACATAGTGAAATCCCATCTTTACTAAAAATACAAAAATTAGGCAGGCATGGTAGTGGGTGCCTGTAGTCTCAGCTACTCAGAGGCTGAGTCAGAAGAATCTCTTGAACCCAGGAGGTGGAGGTTGCAGTGAGTTGAGATCACACCACTGTAGTCCAGCCTCAGTGAGCCACTGTGCCTGGCCGGAATCTATCTTATGGGACTGCCCTGAGGCCTTCAGAACACTCAGCAGGTAGAATGTTTGACACTGAGCCTGGCACAGAGTAAAAGCTTAGGGAGGGGCAGAGAGAAAGGGTGACAGGTTTTCCTGTGCAATCTGAGGAACTTCACTTTGGTCCTGGCCTGAATGAGCAGGTCCTGTCCAGATGTCCCTGATTTATATCCCACCTGTCCCCTCTACCCTTGCTCACCCACCAGGGCCTGTTCTTTCCCCCACCCCTGCCAGGGCCCTTATACTACCTGTTCCTTCTGCCTAATGCCCATACCCACATGTGAGTAGAGTTTTCATGTCTATACCCTCCCTAAAGGCAAGGTTGGTTGCTGAATTCATCTATCTCCAGTGCCTAGCATAACAAAAGTTTGTTGAGCAAATAAATGGGTGGAATAGCTCAGGAAAGAATAACAGCTGCATTATTAGAAAACCTACCATATGCAGACATGATTGCTAGCGCCATGCTCAGCCATATTGGGATTTCAGGTAAAAGGAAGTCAGAAAGGCTCGTTCTGTCTTTGTTTAAATTTTTGATATTTTGTTCATTGTGGATTTGGGCATACATTTAGATTTCTTAAAACATTGCATGGATTTTTTTTTTTTTTTTGAGACAGGGTCTTGCTCTGTCACTCTGGCTGGAGTGCAGTGGTGCAGTCACAGCTCACTGCAGCCTTGACTTCCTGGGCTCAAGTGATCCTCTCACCTCAGCCTCCCAAGTAGCTGGGACCACAGGTGGTGGTACCCCCCCCCTCAAAAACGGGGTCTCACTATGTTGCCCAGGCTGGTGTTGAACTCCTGGCCTCAAGTGATCCTTCCACCCTGGCCTCCCAAAGTGCTGGGATTACAGGCATGAGCCATTGCACCTGGCCTGAGATATTATTTATCTTGATTCTTGAGTTTTTTTGGTGCCCCTTTAAATTTTGCACCTGAGGCAAGTGCAAAACTAGCTCCTGCTCTGATTATTTCCAATATGCAATCTATACCATGTCATTAATTCCTCATCAAATCCTCTACTATCATCACCACTTCACAGTTGAGGAAACTGAGGCATAACTGTGCCCAATGCCCCAAAGGAAGGAGAAGAAAAATCTGAATTTGAACCCCAGTTTCTTTGTTTTTTGGTTCAGAGCCTGCCCAGTATAGCACTACAAACAGCAGAATTTTATAATTTGGGTTTTGAGTTAAGGAATCAAAATCTTCAGGCTTAAGTCCCACTTCTGCTCCAGAGTCTTGTGAGCCCTCCATTTTCACCGACGTCAGTTGCCCTAGGTGAAACTGGACTTTAATATTCTCTACATCCCTTATTTTGCCCCAGAACAGTTTACCAGCTTTTTCTTTTCTTTCTTTCTTTTTATTTTTATTTTTTTAAGGAGACGGGGTTTCACCACATTGGTCAGACTGGTCTCGAACTCCTGACCTCAGGTGATCCACCCACCTCGGCCTCCCAAAGTGCTAGGATTACAGGCGTGAGCCACTGCGCCCGGCCCAACCAGCTTTTTCTTTCCTGAACCAGCAGCAATAGCAAAAACTGGGAATGAGAAGAAACAGGTACCAGTCAGGACACCTGTTCCAACTTGGAGCTCAGGAACCCAGGAGGGGATCAGGGCTAGTGGGGAGACTCCGTGGTCCACAATGAGTGCTCCGTCCCCATCCAAAAATATCCCCTAGTCCAGTTTTTGGGCAGATGCCAGACTTTTATTCTGAAGCGTGGGCCACAACCTATGAGGTAATCTTTGGAGCTTCGTTCTGAGGTGGAATCCCATTGGCCAGTTGGGGAAGCCCCTCCTAGGATTCCTGGCACTCCGCCTTCCCCGAAGCCCATAAAAGAGCAGTTCCCAGCCTCAGCAACCACCGGACACCTGCCTCTGCCAAGAAGACTGGAAGCAGGTGAGGCACACAGAGAGGGAGGCCCACAGCTGCGTGGGAAGAGGGGTGGTCTGAAGGACGTGGGATCCCGGGAAGGAGGCTGGTTTGCAGGTCGGCGCATAGATATTTTCGCAGAAAGGGACAGAGATGGCCAAGTTGGACGGTCTGGAAAGCAGAGACCAGCGGGGCTGACTGCTTGGGAGGTAAGCTCTGGGGACGTGTTACAGGGTGAGGAGCAGGCATCAGTGCTAATTGCGACCCCTCCGTGTCTCCCCCATTGCCATTCTGAAGCTCCCCTGGAAGAAGCCAGGAAGGGAAATAAATTGAGCGGGGGTGGGGTTTCCCAAGGATCGAAGGAACCGAGAACGAAGAGGGGTGGGGGAACCGGGAAAGAGAGAGAGGAAAATCAAGTTTTCTTCAGCACCAGGGACAGCTCTCCACCGACCGACGGAGGAGAATGCTATTTATTTCAGCACCAAGTCTCGGGACAGTGCCACTCGGGGGTCTGAGAAGAGAACAGCTACCTGTTTCAGCACCGGGGCTCAGGACAGCTCCCAGCGGGCTCCGTTTCGGGGCCAGAACCCTGGACAGCTCCTCCAGGTAACCGGAGAGCCCTTGGACCCTGATTTTGGGGGAGGAGGACGAGAGAGGGTGGTCTGAGGTGCCAGGCATTTCTGGAGACTCGCCCCTCATGTAATGGATTTTTAAACAAAGTATTTTCCAGATAAGTCCACATAGAAGTCTGTAATTTTATCTTTTTTTTTTTTTTTTGAGACAAGAGTCTTGATCTGTCAGCCAGGCTGGAATGCAGTGGCGCGATCTCGGCTCACAGCAACCTCCGCCTCCCGGATTCAAGCGATTCCCCTGCCTCAGCCTCTCGAGTAGCTGGGATAACAGGCACGCCCCATCACAACCAGCTAATTTTTGTATGTGTAGTAGAGATGGGTTTCACCATGTTGGCCAGGCTGATCTCGAACACTTGACCTCGTGATTCGCTCTCCTCAGCCTCCCAAAGTGCTGAGATTACAGACGAGAACCACCCCGCCTGGCCCAAGTCTGCAATTTTCAACAGGTAAAACTCCCTGCTGGGGGAACAGGCGCCTGCCAAGATGATATTGTGGTGTCCCTTCCAGACTTCCGTGAGAAACCTTGTGCCAAGCATTTTACATACATCATATCATGCCATCTTCAACCCTAGGATATGGGTGTTACTATGCCCACATGACATTTGGGGAAGCCAAGGCCCAGAGAGAGGTGGAAAAATAACCAACCCAGGGGCTCTCAGCCCAAAGTGAAGCTGTAAGTCAGTCCCATCAGTCCAACTCCAAGTCCCATGTTTCTGTTGTGCCTGGGTGGGAGGTGGGCCCTTGGAGATCAGACCCTGTCTCTCTCCAGGAGAACCAGGAATGGAAAACAGGGAGGCAGCACAGAGGCAGGAAGCCCACGTGTCACAGCTTGGCTCAGGTGAGGAAGAGGAGCTGGACAGGGGTCTCAGATATGGGGCAGAGGGTGGCAAAGAAGATTAGAGTGGCTATGGTCTAGTGCTGTGTGGAAGACTAGTGATTTTGTTGTTCTGATGTACTATGACAACAAGTCACAGCCGGCCTCACAGCGCAGACTCCCATCGACCTTCACCTAAAATGAGCTGGCCAATGGGGGAGAACTGGGGAGGTTGGGGCAGGGATTGCTTCCACTCGGAGGGTGGGCTGGCTCACTTTAGGGGATACAGACATGGGCAGGGGAGGGAAGCAAACAAGGACGTACATCCTGTGCTCATACAGCCATGCACCATGTATGTTGTTGATCACACATCACTTGTACGCCCCCACAAGCCTGGAGATAGAAAATATCTGACTCTAAACCCAAGACCTCGAACCACCTCACAGCGCTTTCCTGGGGGAATTAGTGAGGGAATGGCATTAAAACCCTTCCTAGACCAAGGTTCTCAGGGTACTTCTCTATTAAAAAACATTTTTTTTTGGCCGAGTGCGATGGCTCATGTCTGTAATCCAGCACTTTGGGAGGCAGAGGCAGGTGGATCACCTGAGGCCAGGGGTTCCAATGTCCACAGCCTGGACAATGTGGTGAAACTCCATTTCTCCTAAAAATCTGAAAATTAGCAGGGCGTTGTGGCGCACGCCTGTAGTCCCAGCTACTCAGGAGGCTGAGGCATAAGAATCCCTTGGACCCAGGAGGCAGAGGCTGCATGAGCCAGGATTGCACCACTGCACTCCAGCCAGGGTGGCAAAGGGAGATTCTGTCTCAAAAAAATTATTTATTTTTTAGAGACATGGTGTCCTGCCTCAGCCTCTGAAAGTCCCAGGATTACAGGTGTGAGCCACCGCACCCAGCCTAAGGGTACTTTTCAGTAAACGTTCCAGAAGTGAGCTAGGTGCTCATACCTGTAATCCTAACATTTTGGGAGGATGAGATGGGAGGACTGCTTGAGCACAGGAGTTCGAGACCAGCCTGGGCAATATAGTGAGCCCTCATCTCTACAAGAAAAAAAAAAAAACTTTTTAAAATTAGCTGCGTGAGGTGACACATGTCTGTCGTCCCAACTAATGTGGGAGGTGGAAGGAACACTTGAGTCTGGGAGTTCAAGGCTGCAGTGAGCCGTGACTGCACTGCTGCACTCCAGATTGGGTAACAGAACAAGACCCTGTCTTAAAAAAAAAAAAAAAAAAAGTTTCAGAAAAGATTCTTTACCTGTCTGCCACCCATCAGTGCCATGGGCCAATGATAGGACAAGTGTGAATGTGTGACTTACCGCATCATGAAGGCTCATCCTGTTGGCCAGCTGTGATGGCTCACACTTGTAATCCCAGCACTTTGGGAGGTCAAGGTTGGAGGGTGGCTTGAACTCAGGAGTTCGAGACCAGCCTGGGCAACACAGAGAGACCTCATGTCAATAAAACATAAATACATTTAAAAAAGACTCACTTCCAATTTTCTGCAACGCCATAATCAAGTCACAAACTCCACATGGTACCTGTTCTCCAGCCTCACGGTTTTTGGCTTTGTTGTTCCTGCAGCTTGGAATGCACTTCCCCCACCTCCACCCAGAGACCCCTGCAACGGAGCCTGCCTTCTTCTGCAAGCTCCATTTCATCAAGGGAAACCATCCTGATTGCCTCACCATTTCCCATGTGAAGTCTGTACTGACATTCTCAGAGACCTGGGATATTGTGTCTCCAGCACATAGTCCAATTATTTTCAAGTTATCTAGTGACGGGTCTATTTGTCTCCCTGTTACCCTGTGAGCTCCATGAGAGCAGAAACAATGTTTGTATTTTCACGGCTACATCCCCAGTGCCTGGTCCAGTGCCCAGCACACCGCGGGCATACCACAAGCATGTGTTGAATCAATAAAGCCACCAAAGAATAAACCAATACATCAATCAATAAATGACTGTATGGCCTCGGCACACACAGGAAGATCCTTCTTCTAGGTCTCCCCCAGAGAGATACCAGAGGGCAACGGTTACTGCAGGTGTTTATTGGGGAAGCATAATTGAATTTGTGGACACTTAAGGGTCGGCTAGCCAACTCATAGCCCCAGGAGAGAGCCAGGCTCATTTAATTAGCAATTACAAGGCATTGATTCCTCATTAGCTTTGGCAACCCCTGTCTCCCTCCTCACCCCAGACAAATGAAATCTTTCTCTCTCTCCCAGGAGGACTGCCTCAGTGGGTCCATTAACAAGCAGAGAAAATGAGATTAGAAGACACCTAAATGCCAGAGGCACTTTATGAATGAGCTGAGCAGAGGGAGGTTCAATGTCTGGGTGAGGTCTAATTGTGGGAGGTTTTCTGGTACATTTAGAGTTGCCCCCTGGGAATGGAAGGGCTTTCAGAAAGGAAAAGACACACAGATACTGCCTTTTGGGGGCCTCAGTGAAGGAGGATATTCTACTGTGGGTATCTCCCAATCACCCCAAATTAATCATTTCAAAGTGAACATTCTGCTCAGCCCCCAGCTTCCTCCCCCATGTGCCCACGAATGTGATGGTTCCCCTACATGCCCAGGACTCCCCCTCCTCGTCCAGTCCCCATGGTCCCCAAGGCAAGTCACCATGCTCAAACCCATCCTCTGTGCTCCAGCCCTCTGCCTCCCCGCACGCCCTCATCTCCTGTCTCCCCCTCCAGCCCATGCACATGTGCAGCCAGTTCATTCTCTACACACAGCGAGGGGTCTTTCCAGAACACACACCTGACCAGGTCCCGCTCCTGCCTGTAACCCTTCCAAGAGCCCCACTGACTGCAGAGTAACATTCAAACATTTGGCTGGGCACGGTGGCTCATGCCTGCAATCCCAGCACTTTGGGAGGCCAAGGCGGGTGGATCACTTGCACGGGACTACAGGTGTGTGCCACCACACCCGGCTAATTTTTAAACTTTTAGTAGAGACGGAGCTTCACCATGTTGGCCACGCTGGTCTCGAACTCCTCACCTCAAGTGATCCACCGACCTTGGCCTCCCAGGGCGCTGGGATGACAGGCGTGAGCCACCACACCTGGCCTAATTTTTTTCACTCTCTCTCTCGGTTGCCTAGGCTAGAGTGCATTGGTGCAATCTCTGTTCGCTGCAACCTCCACCTCCAGGTTTCGAGTGATTCTCCTTGAAATGAAGTACATTGCCGGGCGCGGTGGCTCACGCCTATAATCCCAGCACTTTGGGAGGCCGAGGCGGGTGGATCACGAGGTCAAGAGATTGAGACCATCCTGGTCAGCATGGTGAAACCCCGTCTCTACCAAAAATACAAAAAATTAGCTGGGCATGGTGGCGCGTGCCTGTAATCCCAGCTACTCAGGAGGCTGAGGCAGGAGAATTGCCTGAACCCAGGAGGCAGAGGTTGCGGTGAGCCGAGATCGCGCCATTGCACTCCAGCCTGGGTAACAAGAGC